CATTTGTGATATATATATATATATCTTACTGATCCTACCAGTTCTGTTTCTCTTAGGGTAGAACCCTAATACTCTATGTTAAAAATTACTATTAAACTCAATAAAAGTTGTCAGTGTGAACTTTAAAAAAAAAAAAATTGCTTTCATTACTAGTTTGAGCTTTGCCCTACCCAGTTGTAAAAATTCCTCCTTTTTATATAACAAATTTCCACAAATACACAGATTTCCTTTTAGACGTTCTATTCTATTCCATTAGACTATTTGTTTATTCCTGTACCAACATCATACTACATTTATTATTATAATGTAAAAATAATATAATTAATAATATTTTGATATGTGGTCTGGCTAGCCTCCGTTCTTGTACTTTTAAAAAATGTTCTTGATTCTTCTGCAACGTTTATACTAATATAGGAACTGTAGGATCATTTTGCCAAGGTGTTTTAAAAAATAATGTTGGGGATTTTATTGCAGTTATATTGAATTTATAAATGATTTTTTAAAGAGTTGCAATCTTTACCTTATTGAGTCTTTCCAAACATAAACATTAGTTCTCCATTTATTCAGTTCTTCTTTCAGACCTTCAATAAAATTCTTTTTTTTTTAATCCATAAAGTTCTGGCATAATTTTTATTTTTTTAATTAAAAATTTTTTTAAAATATTTATTTATTTATGCTGCGCCAGGTCTTAGTTTCAGCACGCTGGATCTTTCAGTTGTGGCATATGGGCCTCTTAGTTGCAGCACGCATGCAGGATCTAGTTCCCCGACCATGGATCGAACCCAGGCTCCCTGCATTGGGAGCACAGAGTCTTACCCACTAGACCACCAGGGAAGTCCCTCTGGCATAATTTTTAGGTTTGTTCCTAGGTATATTGTAGGGTTTGTTTCTTTGATTATTTATGTCTACTTTTATTATTTCTGATTGATTATGGGTAATGTGGAGAAATGCTGTAGAATTTTGTATAGACCTTATACCCAGCAACTCTGATGAAACTTATTTCATTCACTGTATTGAATGTCTTAAATTGTTATGTAGGAAATGATACCGTCTGCAAATAATGACAATAATCTTTCTTTTCATTCTTACATATTTTATTCCTTTATCTCATTGCATAGTCTTGTATATCTCATACACTGCTGAAAAATAGTGGTGACTCTTATTCTGTTTATGACTTTAATGACAATACCTCTGAAAATTCAACTTAATATAGGTTTTGCTATAAAGTTTCAGATAGGTTTGTTTTCTTTTCTTATGGATTAAGTTCTATCCTTTCATTTCCATTCTTAATTTTAATAAAGAATTCACATTTCACTTTTAGGAGAGCTTTTTAAACCCTCATGAATTCTAATGTTTAACATTCTATTTAAGATGTTCCCAACTTTGCTCAGAGAAGACAAAATTGGTACATAATTATTTTTTCCTCTACGGGCCAGAATATTTGGCTGTAGTATCAAATTTTTACTAACCTCAGCAAATTTGTTATTTATGGCTACGTAACAAATTGTACCAAAGCTTAGCATCTTAAAACCATAAACATCATCTCACAGTCTGAGGGTTACCGTTCATTGAGATTCTGATACGTCTTCATGATAGAAATAGATAGAAGTCATGAATATATGTTGACATGGTTGAAATATAGAAATCTTCATAAATACCCAAGAAAACTATGTGTAACCCTTCCCTGAAAGGTCATATAATTAATGTACATCCGTGCATTTTGTAAACCATAAATAATTACCTTCCATTTTGTAAACCATAGAAATCACATTTCTCAGATCATTATATCAGAAGAACAAAAAAGTCTGCATGCTTGTAACTTGTATTTTGATTGAGGATTATAGAGCGGATTTGGGAAGGCTTCATTTAGACCCTGTGTGAACTTACTATATGTTAATTAATAAAACTGAGTGGTTTTTGTTTTTTCTATTTTTTGGCATGCAGGGTCTTAATTCCCCGACCAGGGGTCGAACCCGTACTCCCTGCAGTGGGAGCACGGAGTCTTAACCACTGGACTGCCAGGAAAGTACCCCCAAACTGGGTGATTTTTAGTGTGTAAAACCTGATGTGTAATTGATGAAGTGTTATTCCACCACCAACATTAACATTGACGAGCATTGTCATCTCCCACCTTATTTAAGATTATAGATAAACGATGATAACAATGAAGCATTTGGTAACAGAAAAAAAAAATCCAGGAACAGCTTGGCCTGGTGGCTCTGGCCTGGGTTCTCTCACAGGTTATAATCAAGCCGTTTGCCAGGACAAGACTAGACTGAGACTGAAACATCTATTACTTCCAAGTCTCTCACGTGATCGTTGGAGGGCCTCAGCTCCACACAGGCTCTTGGCCAGAGGCATTAGTTCCTCACCCTGGGGGCCACTCCACAAAAGGCTGAGTGTCCTCACAGCATAGCAGCTGAGTTCTGCTTGAGCAAATGATCGGGGAGAGCAAAACCTCCCCAAATGGAAGCTAATCTCTTTAAATGATCTAATTTCATAAGGACATAAAGATCTGTCACTCTGCAATATTTTATTGGTCACACAGACCAACTCTGCAAAAAGGTGGGAGGGGACCGTGCAAGGGTGTGAACATCAAGAGATGAGGATGATTGGGAGTGAACTTGGAGGGTGGCTAAAATGAATAAAATAAAATGAATGAAATTAAAATGAATTGAATGGCTCATAAAATGAATTAAACGGCTCTTCCCCTTTGCCCTCACCTCTGAAATGGTTAACTTAATACATCCAGTTGTTACTCTTGGAATATTGGTTGAAATAGTATGGATTATTTTCTTAGACCAGTGACATTTTCCAGGAAAGGAATGAATTACAATTTTATTTTGGCTTTTTTTTTTTTGCGGTATGCAGGTCTCTCCCTGTTGTGGCCTCTCCCGTTGCGGAGCACAGGCTCCGGACGCACAGGCTCAGCGGCCATGGCTCACGGGCCCAGCCGCTCCGCGGCATGTGGGATCTTCCCGGACCAGGGCACGAACCCGCGGCCCCTCACAGGCTCCGGACGCACAGGCTCAGCGGCCATGGCTCACGGGCCCAGCCGCTCCGCGGCATGTGGGATCTTCCCGGACCAGGGCACGAACCCGCGTCCCCTGCATCGGCAGGCGGACTCTCAACCACTGCGCCACCAGGGAAGCCCTATTTTGTCTTTTTTTTAATCATTAATCTAATTAAGTTCTCTGTTTCCTTTAGAATCCATAGAGCACAGAAAAACGTCGAGCAAAGTTCCCTACTTGGCTCTAGCTCTCGGAATTCCGGTTCTTGTTACTCTTTCCACTCCACTGAGTCAAGAACAATATCACTGTCCTGTGGTTCTGGCCAAGGACATGTCATCAACATGACCTACCATGACAATACTCCTAGTGTTGGGAAAGGCAGTCTCATGCATGCATCCCCCACTACAAAAGAATGGGCCTTGGACCTGGAATACTTACTTACCAAGACATAGGAGCCCATACAACCTGTGCCAGGCTTATTGTCATGAGTGGAAATATCTTTCCCTGTTTTAAGCTCAACGCATGCTCCTTTGTTTTGTGTGTGTGCCCTCTGGCATCTGGTTAACCCCACTGCTGTATCTGCCCTCAGTGGGGAAGGGATGGGGTCCTTCTACCGTGTCATGGGAGGAGTGCCTACACATAAATTGCCCGGCATCAGGTGCCAGGAGAGACTCCCTAGCCATGGGAAATCGAAGCCCGCTATGGAAGCGTCTTGTGTAAGTGAAGCATTGTTTCATCCAGTGCTCGACTATGCTGTGCTTTCCTTGGAGACTCTGATACCAGTATACAATGGACAGACATATGTGTTTGCAGTCCTCCCTTGGGACTGATAATCGGGTACACGTTGTTCTGTTCAACACTTATTTTAAGATAGAAGAAATAGTGTCTTGGGAGAGAAGAGAAATGAAAGAGGCTCATGATCACCACAGAAGGAAAGTATCCACCATTTTCTGAGAACCTGCTATGGCCCCGTAACATTGCTCTTAATTTTGCATTGGATACCCCAATGCTCCAAACACCAAACACTGTGAGAAGTTGATCTTTATCATCACTTTGCAGGTCAAGAGATTAAGATGTAGGAGATAAAGTCATTTGTCCCAAACCACAGAGCCAAGGCTTTTCAGACTCATGATGTGAATTCTGGTCTGTCCAGCCCCTAAGCCTCTTCCTTCCACTCCATATCCGTAAGAGGGTGGCCTCTTATTCAGACATTCCCTCATCATCTCCCACCCAACTGATATTCCCCAATGAACCACAGAAGCAGGATGTACAGAGAGAAATATGCTCATTTATTTATTGACCAATGAACAGGCATTTGCTGGCAGCCTACTGGGTGCCAAGCCTTTCTGCAAAGAAGATATTGGTGATAGGACCAAGGCTTCACCACAGAGTGCCCCAGTGATCCAAGCGTGGGAGTAGAAGGGAATTCCCAGACCACACAGAGTAGGAATCCAGAGCCACTTCCAAGTGGCAGGAATCAGGCTGTGAGACAAAATGAGATCAGGGCTTCAATATAGGAACCAGCCAAGTCATCTTCACATTCTCTCCCCAAGAATCCCCTTGAGATAGAGGAAATAGCAAGGTGCTGATATAGTTGTATGAGTCTTGGTATCAGGAGGCTGATTTCAAGTCTCTATTTTACTAGAAAACTCTAAGGTTGGAGCATTGAGCAAGATTATCCTCAAAATCCACTGATCTTTTGGGCTTTGACGCTAGACAACATCTTGGAAATAATCTTAATGATACACACTTAGTGCACAGTGCTTTTGACAACGCACTTTCAAGTTCATTATGTCCATTTTACAGATAAGGAAACTGAGACTCAAAGTCACTTGCCCTGGGGCCCTTATTCAGAAGGGCTGGGATATAATCAGAGCCATGAGCCATCCTATAGAAATCCTTGCCCTGAGCCCTGGGGAACAGGGCTCTCGGAAGACAAGGGAGTCAGGCAGAGGCTTTCCTTGGGGTCCAGATCAGGAGTCCCCCTGCTTATATGCCTGGAACTCCAGAGGGTTGAGACTGAGAGAGCTGGAGGGAAGGAGGTCAGCCTGCCCCAGCCCCTCCTTACCTTTCACAGGGAAAATGCAGGCTTTCCCACAAGTGCCCTTGCAGCACTTTAATTCACCCACGCACTGGCTGTCTGTCTCACAGCGATTGGGGGGGTTAAGCATCAGACATTGCGTGTCGAACACTGGACACTTCCCAGGCTTCTCCTCAGCTGGTGAGAGTAGAGACATGGGTTAGAAACCTTGTACCTTCCATACTAGCCCCCTGCTTCTGGACCCCAGCCCCTGCCCCAGGCCCTGCCCCAGCCTGAGCCTCCCATCCCCATGACCACCACATCCTTCCTGAGGCTGGGATACCCCCTGAAGGTAGGCTCTGGCTCTCTTCTGACATTGGGCCCCCAGTCAATGCAGGTGGCCAGTTGTCCAGTGCTGCGTGGCTGGTGGCTCTCCCACCTCCTCACCTGAGTTCAAGATGTTGACAGGATCCAGGCATCTGATTCCGCAATAATCAGGGCAACATCTCTTCTTCTCTGGACACTGCCAGTCATTGTTGCACTCGGGTTTGTCATATTTAAAGCAATTGGCAGGTTCTCTAGGAGGGCAGTCTCCAGCTTTCAAAGCTTTGGAAGAGAAGTTCAAGAGTTTTGGAGGAGGCTGGGTGTTGAGTAACTATCCCGGCTGCTGGACAAAGCACCACTTTCCAGGGCTGACCCTCACTCAGGTGACCATCCACAAAGTCCAAAGTGAAGTCCCTGTCTGATCTCCATGAAGAGTGACAGGCTTGATGAAATCACACACGTGGTCAGGAGGAAGGCATAGGCTTCCCAGCCAAGGTTTCTTTCCCCAGGGAGAAGCAAGGCTCCACACAGGCAGAGAGGCAGGCTGAGCATGATGGAGATGGAGGGAAATAAACAGAGATAAATAGAACCGACAGAGCAGGTGAAGAGCTAGAGCCAAAGACAGGAAAACAGAGATTAACGGAAAGAACCAGCAAGAGTCAGACGGATGATTGGAGAGCCACTCACCGGGAAATGAGGCAGAGAGAAAGAGAGAGAGAGGAATAAGAATAGAAAGGGAGTGAGACCTGGGCTGACAGATGGCTGAGTAAAAGAAGAATTTCCAGATGCTCAGAAGCTTGCACAGAGACCTTGGAACCCAGCTGGACATGAACACACCCCCAGGGACGTCTCCTGAAACTAAGCTGAGAGATTACAGTCTAGAGAAGGGGCCATCCCCACACCACTACGAGCCCCCATCTCTGACCCTGCAGCCAGGATCATACCAGGGTGACTCCAACTCACCATTTTCAGCACCTTCCACAGCCCAAGGTGCCAGGGTTCCCAGGGCAAGAAGCACGAAGGGGAAGAGGCCACTGAATGTCATGGTGAGGGCAGGGGCAGCTCTGCTGGCCCAGCTGCCCCCATTTATACCCTCCCTAGTGGGTGTGGCCTCATGAGCATTTCCTCGGCCCCTCCCAGCTTCAATGGCATAAGCGGGAAGCTTGGCCAGAGATCAGGAAGCTTGATACCGGAGAGACAGTGGCTCATTCCTGTCCCGAGCAAGACTGCTAGGCCAACAGAGTAAAGGCCAGAGAAGAAATAGGAGAGGCTGGCCTGGGAGATGTCGCCAGGCTGATAAGGAAACCATTTCAGGTGTCCATCTGAGCCCTGAGCATCGTAGGGGCCCCAGGCTCCTTAGCCTCGTTAGTGGAGATGGGGGGGGGTAAAAGGTCAAATGCAAAAATGCTATTTAGACCTGGATTCTGAGCTGAGACGTTGGGCAAAGCACCCCTCGTTCTCCCACCCCTGGAGGCACTATGCCAGGCCCTGGGGATACAAAAGTTAATGGGACACATAGTAAAACACAGTGTAGTAGGCAAATATATGAATGTTAGTGTTAACCTAATCTGGATTCAAACCTTGGTACCACAACTTACTATCTGTTGCCTTGGACAAGTCAGAAGACCTTCTAGTGTCAGTTTCTGTAAAGCAGGCACCATTATACTTTTTCTTCTTATAATTGTCATGGGGAGTAAATGAGCCTCTGGCCCAAGGCCTGGGATGTAGTAGACACTTAAAAATGGGAGCCATTATAATCATTATTATTATTACAAAATAGTCTCTCTCTGATACACACACATGCGTGTGCGCACGCACATACGCGCACACACATACCTCGGAGCTCACAGAAAGTTATCAAGTCTTCTGCTAACTCAGATTATTTATTATATCTCGAAAGATCCTTAGTCCAATTGACTGTCTGTGTAATCTACTTCTGTATTCTAGAGCCTGTCACTGACTCGCTGTGTGACCTTGGTCAGAACACTGAAGCTCTCTGAACCTCAATTTCCCCATCTGTACAATGAGAGGGTTAAACTACGAGGTGAAGTTCTCGTCTAGAACCAGTACCGCCATGACTCAACAGCCCCACACAGACTGAGGGCACCGCTGGTAGAGGCTCTCCTATTCTCAAGGCCCGTCTTGGCTCTGCTCACAAGATGGCCTCTTAAGATCGAGGGTAGGAAGAGAGACCAGGAGAAAGACTGGTGGCTGTTCCTTCTTAAGGAAGGCTACCATACCTCATCTCTGGTTCTTGGCTGTAAGACTCACGGTCATGCCTCCGACTGGCTCTCTCTTTCACTCACAAATACCATCTGCCTTGCCATCCACTGGTGTTGGGGGAAGGGAGAGTAGGGGGTCTCCGACATCCTTTATGTCAGATGCTCTTCTCTGGGCCTCGCTTTACCTATTGATTTGTTTCCACACAAGACTATGATTTCTTTGAGGGAGAAAACATGTCATTAAAAGATCACAGATTTTGGAATTACACTGACCAGGTTTCAAATCCTGACTCTCCCACTTAATAAATGTTCCTTTACATAATTATAGCTAATAATTACTGAGCAGTTGTTATGTTTCAGGCACAGGGCTGAATACTTTGCGTGATGTATCACCCTTAAACCTCATAACAATATACTAAGTAGGTAATATAGTCATCCAGTTTGGTCTGCCATACGAGGTGAGAGGAAGAGGAAATACTTTGGGTGAGGTTGATCAGGGACTGCCTAAGAACTGATGTTTCTCGCCCAGACATGGAAAGCAGCCAAGAGGTACCGTGAGTCCAAAGCTGGGGTCAGAGGAGAGAACCCCTGTGAGGGTCACATCTATAGTTTGTGCAGTTCATGTGCCAGATGTGCAGGTGATAAATGAGCTCCAGAGAGAAATATCAGTTAGCATAAACTTTGTGTTTGGTGTCATCTTTTAAAAAGGATACGGAAATCTCTGGTGGTCCAGTGGTTAGGACTCGACACGTTCACTGCCGTGGCCCGGGTTCAATCCTTGATGGGGGAACTAAGATCCCGAAAGCTGTGTACCGTGGCCCCAAAAAAAAAAAAAAGGATATATATTTATATTTTGATGGAGTCAGTTTTATCCATCTGTCCGTCTATGGATTGTACTTTTTTTTTTGCGGTACGCGGGCCTCTCACTGTTGTGGCCTCTCCCGTTGCGGAGCACAGGCTCCGGACGCGCAGGCTCAGCGGCCATGGCTCACGGGCCCAGCCGCTCCACGGCATGTGGGATCCTCCCGGACCGGGGCATGAACCCGCGTCCCCCGCATCGGCAGGCGGACTCTCAACCACTGCGCCACCAGGGAAGCCCTGGATTGTACTTTTTACGTCGAACTATCCTTACGCAATCCCTTCCATTTTGTTTAAATATATTCACAAGTTTTGTATTCCACATTCAAGTCATTAATCCATCTGGAATTTATTTATTGTGAATGGTTTGAATTAAGGATCTTGTTTCCATTTTTCCCTAATATGGAATGCCAATTGTTCCCCCGTATTATTGATCTCTTATTAATTTATAAAGCCACATCTATTTTGTACCAAGTTTTTGTATATAGATGGATGTGTGTCTGTGTTTTTTTATTACTCAATTTATTTATTCCCAAACCAGTCTTCCTTGGTACTCTTTTCATTAACATCTACATTTTACATACCTTGTTGTTTTGCAGCCCAAGTCTTTTCTGTTTTACTTATTCAGAATTGTTTGGCTATGCTTGCACTTTTCCTCTACTACATAAATTTTAGGATCAATTTCTCAAGGTCCTCAAAAAAATCTGTTGAGATTTTTATTACAGTTACATCAAAACTATAAACTACTGAGTGGAACCAAAATATTTACCATATTAAGTCTTCACAGATAAAAAAAATGAGCATCACTCTATTCAAGTCCTCTTCAAGTCATATAATAAATTTTAATTTTTTCATGTAATTCTTGCAAACTTTTTCTTGGTTTATTTTTAGGTAGTAATAAAATTCATGACTATTGTGAATAGGAGCTTTTTCTCTCTTTATTTGATAGTTTTTGGTGTGTAAGCATGCAACTGTTTTTTTGTATATTGACTTTTTAAAATGAATTTATTTATTTTATTTTTGCCTGCTTTGAGTCTTCGTTGCTGTGCGTGGGCTTTCTCTAGTTGCAGCAAGAAGGGGGTACTCTTCGTTGTGGTGAGCGGGCTTCTCAATGCGGTGGCTTCTCTTGTTGCAGAGCATGGGCTCTAGGCGTGCGGGCTTCAGTAGTTGTGGCACATGGGCTCAGTAGTTGTGGCTCCCGACTCTAGAGGCAGGCTCAGTAGTCCTGGTGCACGGGCTTACTTGCTCCATGGGATGTGGGATCTTCCTGGACCAGGGATTGTACCTGTGTCCCCTGCATGGGCAGGTGGATTCTTAACCACTGCACCACCAGGAAAGCCCTGTATATTGACTTTTGTAATTGCAAACTCAATATATTTTCTCATGAATTCTAATAGTTTACCCATGACTCTCTTGAATTTCATCTGAAGACATTCATATTATCTGTAAGCATTAACCATTCTATCTCTTCTTTTCCCAACCCTATTCCTCTTTATTTTTATGTCCGGTTTTATTGCATTGGCCTACGATCACTAATTTGATATTGAATCAGAGTGGTGATAGAGGGCAGTCTGGCCTTGTACTGACTTTAAGGATGCTGCTTCTAGAGTTTCACCACTGAGTATAATACTTGCTGTAGGTATTTGTAAATACACTTCATCAGGTGAAGAATATTCTCTTTTGTTCCTAGTATAGTGTGTATTTTTATCATGAATGAACATAGAACAATATGGAATGATTTTTATGAATCAATTTAAAGATTCATTTGAATTTTTTTCTTAAACTTTTAATTTACTTAATCACATTGATAATTTCTGGGTTTTGAACTACCCTTAAACTCCTGGGATGTACCCTATTTACAAGGTTTTTTAGCACACTGAGAAATTCAATATCCTAACATGTTATTATACTTGTCGCTTTGAAATAATGTCAAGCATATAGAAAAAATTGGAAGAATAGTACAAAGAATTATCATCATATTCCTTTCACCCAGATACACTAAGTGTTAATATTTTGCCATGTTTATCATTCTCTTTCTTCCACGTGTGTGTGAAAGATAATGGTTTATTCTGACCATCGAGAGTAAGTTGTATACATCACACTCATTTATACATGAGGACTTCAGTGTATATTCCCTATGAATAGCTTGATTACATCATTACAGTAGCCCTGATGGAACGTTTAAATATTGGGGTACATATCACTTTACTATAACTTTTCCTTTGCTTTTACTTTATTCCTATAATTACAGTTAGGACACCATATTAACCTGTTTTTGATATTGCATGTATAGCAAAGTTATATTAGATATTAATTTCATTTCAGATTAGTAAAGGGGATATGACTAAAATAAAAAAGGCATCAGGGTATATACGGTTGAAAATCACTTATATAGATAATCTCCAGAGAGCCTCTGACTATGATACAAGTTTGGGCTTGACTCTAGGCAGCAACCCCTCATCCATTTCCAACCCACCCAGCAAACAGGGAGGATCCCAGCAAACCATTTCAGAGATGGAGAGCAGAGGCTGTAGCAGAATCTATGGATTGACTTACTAACATCCGTTTCAACCTTTTTGCTGTATCTCTATATAGACCAGAGGCTGGAAAATTAAAAGCTACAATTCTGAGACCAACACTCTGCCCCACTCCCAGAGCTGTGGTTCTGGATGTGATTTGAGTTTCACCAATCAGGTTCATTCTCTAAAGTGTCCAGCCAGAACTTAGTCTGGAAGGAAGCCAAACGCAGGGCACAGACCGTGGCAGAACAGCATTCCTGAACTGTGGCCAAGGCAACATGACTCGGGATGTGTTGGGGGGTGGGGGGGAATTTATCCCAGAACCTCAATTTACAGCCTCCTTCTCCAGCCCTTCAAGCGATTTTATAGGATACAAATTCATGATAATAAATAGCTTTCTGCTTAAGCTAGCTAGAGTGACTCCTGGTTTTGCAACTGACGCTTAC